GTTAAAATTAAAAGAAAATACAAAAATAAGGATAATGTTTTATTCAAAGGTGTTTGGCGGAACTTGTAAATCTTTTATATTTTTCTTCGACGAAAATACCGAAACAATGGTTTTTAAATTATAAACAACTGAGAAGGACGACTTTCTGTGAATTATTAGCTTCAATAGTTAAATAGTGTAGCTATTTAATTTTAAATACTTTATTTTAAAACTTTATTTTAACAGAGTTTTAATTTAAAGTTTGCTTACAAAAGTACTGAACATGAAAAATTAGTAAATCTATGACAATGTCGACATTTTTGTTAAAGAATAAATCATTTTAACTTGATTAAAGAATTTATAATTAAGATGTTATCTAAAAATTTCAGGATATGATTATCAAAGATACTTGTACAAAGCACTTTTACAAGCATAGTGTTATTTATTTGTACTTCGTTAAATAATATATCTCTTTATTCGAGATTGTTATTTAACTTTCATTTAAACTGTTATTTAATGCAATAATTAAAATACATTATACACATTTAATTATATTGCATACATTGTATTAATATTAACAGATTAGATAACATATTATAATTAATCTTCTGCTTATATTGTCATTATAAAATACTCCAATTATATAATTTCAAGTTATGTCGAGAAATTCAAAAGTTAATGGGTTTCAATAAATACATTTAGGAAAAATATATCAAATTATACAGATTATATAAGACGACTCTGGTTTCTCTCTATTAGATCATGTTTATCTTAATGTCGATCTCGTATAAATCATAATTTAAATAATAATATATATTTCTTTTTATCTTAATATTTCTAACTTTTTAAATATTTTAACTTGAAGAACCAAATTAATTATAGAAGATTAATTATACAAGAAAAACACCCATAAAATTTTAAATTTAAGTCATAATAATTTTTTATTTTATTGGTGTATGAAAAATAATTATAACAAAATTAAAAACTAGTACTTTTATCACGTTCTTTTTCTTAAATAAAATATGATTATATTCATGTTGCATTTATTATTTTCCTACTATATTTTTGTACCTCTTTCTCTCTCTATTCATAACATTAATAAACATAAACAGCGGTACCTACACATTTCTGTAACGCTGTGCGTCAGATGCGATCGTGATAATAATTACGACGCAGCATCGAGTTGTCGTTAACAAAATAAACGAATTATCCATAATATAGCAAATGAATTTACTTACCAAGCGATGTGCCGCGTCGCCATTGCCTCGTTTCCATCCTTCATATACTGACGCAGATGCAAATCGATCGAACAGGCAACTAATCGCAGCCCCGTGGTCCTAAATTAACGCAGTAATCGTTCGTCGCATCATACAACACTTCCGACGATCGTTGCACGTTCGACATACATATTTGAGATGCGTAAACAACATAGAGATGTACATATATACGATGATCATTTCACCTCATTACACTCGCTCGTTGTTCAAACTTCCAAGAAACGACTCGAAACATGCACTAACTTCACGTCACACACGCAGAGTTTCGCAAAATGTCGATCGTGATAATTATCAGAGTTGAGAAATAACACATTACAGTGAGAGTTTTTTTTGGTATTGCTTCTTTTTTAGTTATAATGTTAACTGTAATGGTAACGTAGAGTTATATTTTTTTAATAACGATAATAAATTTAATAGTTACTTTTTATATTTTGAATCTAAAACCTATGATATAATTTTTATATCAATATTTAGTCTTCGATCATTATTCATAATTGATATTCATAGTTGTTATATTTAAGATCTTAAGAATAGTTTTTCATCGACCAATCACAGAATCGCATTGGAATAAGAACAGAGTTTATAAATATCGGCTTTTAAAAATTTGCAAACAAAAATAAAGATAAAAAAGAAGTATAAATTGTTTGTATTTAGTTTAATTTAACAAAAATCACAATTTTTTAATTTTCATTTTGTATATTTTAAAATCCTTTTAAATTTCCTTCTTAAATTTTATGCAATTTTGCAAATTTAAAACAAAAAGTTTAAAACAAAAATTTAAAACAAAAATTTTATTATTTTTATTGATAGTTTAAGAAAAAATATTGGAAAAGTAAATTTTTTATCTGATCTCGTTTTACTATCAAGAAATAACGGAAGAAGTAATAAGTCATTTCTTTTTCCATAACGATAATGACAACGAGTTATTTTTCAGAATCAATAAATAATAATAGCAAATAGTTATTTTTTTTAACTGAACGAGTAGAACGACAACGAGTTACTTTTAAAAGGTAATTTTCCCAACTTTGATAATTGTCTGAATTGACAAGGCCGCTCGTTGTTTGACTCGATAACCTCTGATGCTCCATAGCGATGGAATGCAAAGGGGATTGGAGGGAAGAGGAGATTCACACAGAGAAAATCAACCGGAGGCCGGAACCTCCAATCTGACTGCGAGGCGCCGTGAAATTGGCGCGAGGTAACCACGCTAGTCAAATCAAAACAAGCGAGCGCACCCCCTGCCGCGTTACATACCAAAGCCAATATCATAACAAACCGCTACTGCGTATCGGAAATTACGAGGACATGTACGTTTATTCTTCATCGTTTCACATTCTATCTTGCGTATATTGACTACTTTACGTGTATCGACCAGTTCGTTATATATTCATTGCTCTCTCGTTTCTCCAAGAGGATAATCATTTAGTTTCTAAATCACGATTATACATGAAGCTATTGAAAGGTTAGCCGATAAACAGACGACATTCGTGAGTAGATCGATAAATTGCTTGTTCGTTTTAATCGCGTCGATTTAATTTCGTCGCGTTTTTGCAAACGTGCTATTTCTATCTGCCCTCGCGAATGCTAAATGACATATATATAATTGATTTTAGTTCTATAGAAGGCGCCATTAATATCTTTCCGCTTGAAGATAATTGCTTTAGCGTATCTAGATATTCATATGTTATGTATGTGTGTTGGTATTATTAGAATATTTCTGAAAATTTATGATAAAAGTAAAAGTTGCGTTTATCTTAATTATTTTCAAATTATGTTTTATTATCTTATTTCAAATTCTAATATCGAATTTATGAATATGTGATTATACAATACCAATTAAAAATTATTGGAATTTAAAAACTGTAGGTTCCTTATAGATTTTTTTTTCCTAATCAATGAAAAATTTTGATCTTGAATACGTCTTAAAACCAACTGCAAAATCAAATAACAAATAATTTGATTTATAATGTATATAATGTATATAGTATATTGCATATTACGTATATTTTTTACAGTCATAAATAAATGGATTGTTAAATAGATTGTTAAATATATTACTTTTTAATGGATTCAAATAAACTTTTGTACAAATATTTTTTAGAATTTTACTATTTTATATATATAAAAAATTTGATTCGATTCGTAATGCTACTCTCTCATCAAATTTGCAAATAAGTATTATAAAATACGATTTTATAATACGTGAAACAAAATCAAGACATACAAAAGTTAAACTTTTAAACTAAAAAAAGTATTGTGCTTAAATTTTATGCAAGTAATAGAACGATCTATGCGATTTTTATATTTTTGGTAATGTTTTGAAGTATCATCCATTTCTTAAATAACGATATACGAATATCTGATATGGAAGTATATCTGATTTGGAAGTAATTCAAGTTCAGAGAAAACATTAATGATGGCTTCTGTATCGTTTGATCTTACGTCTCGGATATCTCAAGCTATTTGAAAGTTTTCTTTTTATTTCTGTTGGCTCCCATTCTACTACAGTGATCACAGGAACGATACGACCATGTGTTCAATCAAATATAATCTAAGTACAAAAATAATGATAAAACTAAGTCAGAATTGGAGAAAATAAAGATAAAAATGTGCGAAGACGGAATGCGAAAATTATCTAAAGACAAAATACGTACGTCGTGTACAACGGTCCGAAAACGACTTCTATTTGGAAGTAAACACAAGCGCTATTTAACCGATTGTACGCATGTTGTGTTTTTATATTTTCCACGAATTTTTATGTACGTACGCGAGGTCACGCTCTCAGGTATGTCGAAAATTCGGCGGTACGGCCCGTGTGGAGGGGGTAGCGACCGAATTTGTCGTGCGTCGGCGCAGAGCGGTCGCGTGACGTAGCGCATCGCGCTACCCCACTTTCAAAAGTCCCGACTGCCCGCTCAGCGCCGCTCAGTCGCGCGCCGATCACCTTACGTTGAGTATGTGTTACCGCTGAGCACTCGCGCGCATGCATCTCGATCCTTCGGTCATTTTGGAAAAGTATTTCCGGCTCCGTATATCCTCAGGAGTGCCTCGACGATCCTTCTTGGAAGTGATATCTTTGTTTCCGACACGGAAAATTCGGCGGCGATCTTTCGCGAACGCGGCGGTGGAACAGTGTGAATTAAGCCGACATTCCCCACTCTCCTCGACGAGTGGAACGAGCGCGTTGCTGAACAGACGCGACGGTTCAGTGTCGGTTCAGTCCGCGGGAAATAAGTCACGTCGCGGAATTTTCGCGATTGAATCGCGTCTCTCCCGCCCTCGCTCCGTGTGTCCTGCGATTTGGATAAATTTCTGGGAATGGATGACATTCGCGTTTGGGCTGCGCCCGGCGAGGCGGATCGAAGCGAGACGTCGTGCCACGCGGTTTGACGATCGAGGCGGCAGTGGAACTTTCGGGATCGTAGCAGGATCATTCTTGACGCACCCCCTCCCGCCCTCCCCCGGTGAACTCGCGCGAGCGGAAGTCGACGGGGATCCTGAATGTTGGGGATCGGACTTTGGTGAACCATGGCGCGTCACGAAGCGAGCCGGTGCCGTGAAGTTTAATCCGAGGTAGACCGGCCGGAAATGATCCATCCGAGTTCGACGACTTCGCGGCGGCTGACTCGTCGTCGTTGAACGCTCGTGGAGATTCATCTCGATCGCGCAAGGTCGATGATCAAAGTGCGGGTGCTGTGATATGACCGCTGGCAGCGTACGACAGTGTGGTGTCAAGACTGACTGATTAGTGCGACGATGATGTTAGCCAGTGCTCCAACCAGGAAAATCATGCTCGTGCTGGTGTGGTTGCTGCTCCTCCGGGCTCATCGGGTGGCGGGCACCGATCGTTTGGGTGAGTCATTTTTTTTCTTTATTTTCGCGATTTTATAATTTTGACGAATATCGATAAATCTCGATGCCGCGAAATGCTCGACGCAAGTATCATTTATCAATATTTCGTGTAATTTTAATTATGAATATAATAACTGTGAATTAATATGTACGAAATGTATATATTCCCGTATGAATTCCCCGCTTTCAATATTTTCGTTGATTCGATTCAATTATATTATTTCTATTTATTTTTACATAAAAGTAATAATTTTTGTATTTTAAATCTGGCGTGCATGTTTGAACGATTGAAATGGCGTAAAATATTTTCTGCATAAATTATAAGGAAAATTATTCCGGTTCAATCTTTGCCTTGCAAATTATTAAAATGACGTAAGCGTAATTCATAAGGTTATTACATTGCATCATGAAAGATTCTGTGAAAATATTTATATAATTTTAAGCATAAAGATACACATTTTTTAGGTGGAATTGGATTGTGTAATAAAAACAATACACATAAGATATTATATAATACATAATAAGATAATATAATTTTATATTAATGATTATTTTTGGAGACTTCTTTCCAATGAACATGATGTTCCGTGACGCTTCTTTAGACAAAAATGTTTTCTATTTAGTATTTTGCGTTTTAATTCGGATGATGATAATGCAAAATTTTAATATTATTTTAATGTTACTCCTCTGAAGATTGAACGTGAGGGGTTAAAATTGGCCGAGTTAGAGATCGCGTCGTTGCTTATACTGGATAGAGGCAACTGCCATGCGGAGTAGCAACTCCATATGCATATAATTAAGGGATTAGAGAGCAAATTGAGGGAATTGCCGCGCGGGAGATGTTGCATGTCGCTCGCGTTTAGTCTCATCTTTCGCGATGCCTAAGGCGCTGCACGTAGTCCTGCAATAATTAGTATAATCAAATCTAATGACGTTAAAGTCGATATTCCGTCTCGTGGCGGTATTCGGTATCTACGATCGTTTTGATTCATGGAGCAAATTTCGGATCCGATGCGCCATAAATCAAGGATCATTGTGACGCGTGAATTAGTTGCGACCCAGCCGCTCGTATAATTAATCTAGCGCGTAAAATCGTTTACATATAGATAACAGTTGTCAGGCGCGTTTTATGCCCGCGTGCGCGTGCGCTCTGGTTTGCGATTAAACGAATATATCGTGGGATTTGTAAGAACCGTCCGCTTATATCCGGCTACCGCTATGATAATTTACGACGGCGTATCGTATATCGCGATTGTCGATTTTGGTTGGGGAATTAGCGCACTTGTCAATAATTAATGGTAAGGCGAGAGAAGGGAATCGATTTCCGGAATTGTGACCGCTGTGTGATACTTTTGAAAATTTTACTAATGGTTCTGCGAGGGCGAGGATAAAACGTGAAATGAAACCTTATCCATCGAGTTTGGCCAAATTTTCCGTTGGAATGTCAGCATTCAGTCCTAAATTCATGTGGAATTTTAGTATACAAAATTGAGAGATTACGGGTCGAGAGTTACGAGTTAAACTTATTAGCAGAAATTTCAGAAAGCCGGTATTAACGGTTATAATGTTATGTGTCGGATCAACGTAATTCTGCGATAGATGTGATTATTAGATATGCATGTTGATATGCATTTTGATTTAAATTTTTCGGAAAGGGAAAGTTATTTGTAATGAATTACGGATGAATATGTTACAGAAATAATTTGAAATTACAACAGACATCACAGAATGTCTACTATGTAAAAACCTGGAATTCTCAAGAAATTTGTTTGCCTTGAAAAATCAGGGAATTCTTGGGGAATTTTATTGAATATCAGAGAATTTTTCGAAAATTGCTTTTTCTACTATTTTGTCTTTATATTACAGTCGATTACCGGGAATTTACCGGTTGAATTGTTAATAATAATAACAATCGAACCATCCATTGCAAACATCAAAGTATACTGATTTTATGACTAATCTAATTCTATTCACTATTAAAAATAACAATTTAATATTAGATGCAATTTTGTTTAATGAAATTATTATTTATCCGGATATTTATTTTAATAATTTTATAAAAGTTGAATTTTGTCTCGGTTATGCATTATTAATTTAATATTATATAATTTTTTGTTTGTAGTTTTTGAAAATAAAATTTGAAAATTTTACGCGATATAAAATATTTATTTTTAAAATTTTTATAATTTCTTTAAAAATTGTATAAATTTGGTTATTAAAATTTGAATAATTTTTAATTTTATTTTATGATTCCTAAACTTTTATGAAAAATATTAAGAATGTGCATAGTAAATATATATTTATTTGTAAAATACATTAAAAAATACTTTACTTGGAATTTTTAACAAATTGCCTTGAAAATCAGGCAATTCTCTTTGAGAGAATTTTTTTTAAGTTTGAATAGAGACCCTGTTATTAATTATTTAATAATGTGTTTCTGTAATACGTTACGTATGTATTATTATTTGATATTCGGATTTTATTAGAGTTATTATACAAATTTTGGTTCATAATTTACCTCTACGTTAGGATCTTTCGTGCTCCTAATGCACTTGAATTGCGTTTCGAACGTTAAAGGTCTAGAAGTGCTCGGCACACGTTATATATGTCCAAATACTAGATGACGTCGATAGATCAGCGGCGCGATCGTAAAGTTACTCAGACTTCGTCATGTAGGTGCTAACGTGTGCGGAAAGAAGGGGAGGGGAAGAAAAAACAAGACGAATAAGAGCGGGAGAAGAATGGACAGTGCATTTGCGCCGAGTGTCGAATGCGGGAAGAAAGCGCGTAATTACCCTCGTAAATCTATCGGATGTTTTCGAAGGAGGGAAAGAGAAGATCCGGGACGTCCCGGCGATGGCACTTTATCGATAGTCCGCGCGGTCGTTTAGTCTCGCTCGTAAATTCTTATTATAATTTGCGCGATCGCAGCAACGCTCGGAAATCGCGATCGGCGACGAATCGCCGTTGCGGTAAGCTTAGTAGTTTGAAAAGTCATCGCCATCTCTATAAATCGTGCGAAACGATGGACGCCCGCGGGCTTACGTATACAGTTGAAGTTTTACAAATCCACGTGAGGGGTTGCAAAAAAGACTGGGAGGAAAGCGGTAGCGAGTAGATGATAGAACTTTATCGAGTAACGCGAGAACATTTGGCTTAAAGGGCTCGACGTTACGATCTGTAGAAAAAGTTACCTGAGTAGATAGAACGTCCTGAAACGGAAATAGATCGTCTTTTAAGGATTATTCTGATTAGTTGCGCGTTGCGTCGGGGAACGTCATTGCGCCGGATTGAGGATAGATTCGCAGGAAATGTTCGCCGTGTAGTCGATGCAAAATCTGCGCACGGGCAATATCTTATATAGCTTAATCTTGATTATCTTTCTCGGATATCTTTGCCGTCTTCCACTATAAATTGTACAAAATCTGTGCGAAATGAGGTCATGAACTGCAGGGGGAATGCGCTGCACCTATCTGCATTTCACCGGGAACAATTCTTCCATGGCCATAATTCAGTGCTGTGCCAGTGAAAAAAAAAAAAAAGAGAGAGAGCGGACAAGTCATAATTTTCACTCTTTCGTGAAATAGATTCGAATATTCGAAAATTAATGCAAGATATTTTATATTCGCAACAGTCGCCACGATGAAATACGGGTCGACCGGCTTGTGCACTTCGCGCCCGAAAACCATGCGCATACAGTTTGCAAAATTTCTGAACTTTTTTTTTTTCATATTGTTCCGATACCGTCGCTTCTACAAGCACACCGCCTCGTACATCTTATGAATATCTCGCATATCTTATGAATTATACATAATTAATATTGGTATTTATAAAAGTATCTACCATTTGTTGTTGAATGCAAATAATTTTCCTACTATTTAAACAATGTGATAGGAAATTGTTCCAAAATCATTCGTAGTCGATTATATAATTTACGTACAATTCTAGTGCTCATATACGAAGTAAAACAATGGCTCTCTAGTATGCATAATTAACCATCTCACAGAGCAGCTTTGAAAATCGAACACGATTAAAGGCTTTTCTGTTTTAGCTTCCATTTTCGATGTTATCGACATTCCGATTTTCTTCTATCGTGCATTTTTAGCCAGTTCCTAAAATAACTTTGTCAATTTTTTATCCATTCTGTTACATTATTTATATCATTTTATATATTATTTTTATCTTTTTATATTCTACATTTTACATTTTGTTTACATTTTATATTATTGTTTTATTTATCTTATTTCATAAATTGTTGTTGGGAAATTTTCCGCGAGGTGTGAAATTATTACGTGTTATTCCATAAAAACATTTTCATCATTATTTATCGTGTATATTTAACCGGTAATATTATCGCTTTTTTGTTTGGCTTTAATAAATGACGTTTTCTCGATACATCCATCACGGTTTGTTTCATGATTGATACGATAAGCGTGTTCTTGTTGTGTTACCAACACCTTCGCTATCGACACTCTCCCCTCTCACTCTCTCGCATTCAATCTCGCACATTCTTTTCGGGATAAAAGTTTCGACGGGAGAGCACTTCGTTTTCAAGCTTTCCCATTTCCGTTTCCACCCCCGGCCGCCTTACGGTCGCCGCAACAGAACGCCTATTTCTCGACTCCCGATTCAGCAAGTCGCATAGAGTAGGTAGGTAGCTGCTCAGCTACGGTTTAGTAGCTGGTCTACACTTCACGGAAGTGCATTTACCTATTGTTCGGCTGGCTCGTCTTTCTTTTCCGAGCGTTGAAAGCTCGTGCCCAATCTACATATCTGGCTCCGGTGTATATTTCCGGCGTTGCACGTAAGCTACCGCTCGCCGCTTTTCCGCATCCGTTATTCCTGCGGGCGTAATGCCGAGGCTGCCTTCGTAACATTGACAGTTGCGAATTCGAGGCGCAAAGTCGCCACCGAGATTGTATCTGTGCTTTTATTAGAGGCGAGCCTTTCGCGAGTAACGCGCGTTACTTTCCCTACGCGCGAACGAGCTTCGTAAAATGT